AATCGGAATTTTTTACCCGGCCAACCGCCACTGCGGACCGCCTCGGTGGTTGTCAATAAAGTAGTGATTGATGAGAGTAAAAAATAATACTAATAATTATGTGAAAAGACGTTTTTAGAGAATTCACAAAATAAATGCGTGCTAGGAAGTTGAAGCAATTTGAGATTGCAGAACCACAAAACAAGTGATTCAAACAGAGCCTTTTTCACAATTTTTAATTAATCATTGTTTTATCTCAACATATTTTTTTACATTTTCCATAATAAAAAAATATAGAGTATAATATTTTCCTCGGATAAATTCAATAGAGGACATCAAATGGACTAATATTGAAATCAAAGTGGTTGTGATGGAGTGGAAGAGACTTCTCCACCCTTAACCATAGGTTGAGGGTTCGAACCTCACTTTGAGCATGGAACAAGCTTAAATACTTTGACCAGTTGTCCCACCCATTTGAAATGCCTACAGTTCAGCGAGGGGGATTAGTTACTGTTGCCAAACGGTGAGCTATAATATACTTGGGCAAAATCTATTTCTTGTCAACTAACTTTGTTCAACTTGTAACAAAAGTGATGGCATTAGTCTTGTTCAGTTTGATTTGGATGCCAGCCCCTTATGGCAAGCGTGAACTCGAATCTAGGATGGCCCTTCTAACACCGAAATTGAATTCAGCTGTACTACCAAAATAAACTTGGAGGCGTGGCCCAATTGAAGTGCCTGTAGCCCAGAGAGATATTCTCAATCGTCGCCATCCCATCATTAAAAAAGCCCCAAATTAACAATTGGGTTACAGGCCCACATAGCAGGCCCGGAAAACTGAAGTTGCCAAATTTTTAAAGAAGTAAAACTAACAATTGGGCTTATGAGAAAACTAACTCCAGAAAAAGCAACGCTAGATTGATTCAAACTTGTACAAAGTTTCGGCGAAAGTCATCTTCATTTTTTATTTTTTTTATTTTTTTTTTTTATGTTCCCTAAAATCAAATTGTAATTCCATGTTATTGTAGCACGACTCTAGAAGCTCTATTCAATGTAATTGCGCTCTCTGTGTAAAGTTGTTTACCTAAAAGAAAAAAAAAATATACAAAATTTTGGAGAATAACTCGTGCCATGAGCCACTTTTTACATTAGGAACAATGATTTCTTGTTTATTATTCTATATATTTCAAAATTATGGTATAATTTAACTTTTTAATTTTATTCAATTTGCACTAAATCCAAATTGGACAACAATTTCGGGAATATATTGTTTGAATTATCAATTTTTTTTCACTTATAATTGGATTATTGCTTCTGTAATTTTTTTTTGGTTTTTTTTCCCATACATGGAGAATAAAATTCTACTTTCCAAACAATAGTAATTCCTTTTCCCCCATCGATGTGCTGGAAAATCAACATATCATTTGGAAAATGAAAGCCAGCCCATTGTTTAATCCCCACGGCTAAAGCAAGATAGAATAAGTTAATGATTTAACAAATAATACATGGAATACATCTCCCTAAATTTCTTCAACAATTCACAAGTCAAAGATTTGCCAAAAGATCATCTGAATTTACAATTGCAAAAACAAATTTTTGATAACTTCTTTCAAGAGATCCAGATGTGATATGCCCATCAACTACCGGCAATTAGCACCCCATTATTTACTGAAAACAGCTGTTTATATACTTTTCACACCAGTTGTGAACTTCATGGTCCACCGACAAAATAAGATTGGCATTTGTAAAATTAAAAATGCTGCAAGTATATCTAAACTCTAATTTTTAAGACGGAAAGGAAAGATGATTAAAGTACATGAAAATTAATCTTTGCCTGGTAAGAACTAAGAAGAGCCTGCAAATCTGAATCTGCAAGATTTTTACCTACTTTTCTAATTCATCACCATGTGCCAGGCAGCTGGTGTAATAATTAGTTACCACTTGAGCTACACTACTATTATCTATTTGCGATATCAACCAAGGAACAACATAATTGTTTCTTTTTTTTTATATTTTTTTTAACTTCCCTGTTTCCACAAACACTCAAAAGGAAAAAAAAAATGAAGAGAAAAATGTTGAAAGTCTATTCACCTAAAAAGTTACCAGCGTTGAAAATACTAAAAAATTCAGAATTATAAAGAAAAGGTTCATGCGCATTAGAAGGTTAATAGTGTAAAATTACTATAAGAAATTTCACTATAAAATTGTCAATGTACATCATTTTGCTCGGTTCATCATTGATCTCATTAATATATTCTTATTATTATTTATTTGTGGCATGCTGCATACCTTTTTTTTTTAAAACCACGGACCCCTTTAACACAGCTATAAGTAGATTCTCTCAAAACCATACGAAAACACACCCAAAAAAAAAGCTATTCTGACCTACTAATCTCTCATTTTTCAAGGTGTTTAATTCATTATACCTTGAGAGCAATAATGGCTAAAGTTGCTACCTTCTTCATCCTGTTCTTATTTCTCGCAGCATCACGTAAGAAATAAACCTTTTTTAATCTACGTGTTTTTTTTATCGAGTACGACTTTTTATTTCCTTCCTCCCCCCCCTCTTCTTCTTATTATTTTGGTTATGAATATATACAGATGTGATGGTGGATGTTGAGTCAAGGAACCTCCAAACCACTTCCGCCTCCGATGCTTCTTTGGGGAAATTGCTTGGAGGAGGTTTGCAGAGCTGTGGTGTACTTTGCAGTGTAGCGTTTTCTATTACATGCGGCAGCGACTGTGTTTGCCAAGATTTTGCCTTTTGGGGTCGTTGCGTCGCCGGCTCACAATCGGGATAAAACGATGCTTATATACTACGTACAAGATATCTTAAGACTTACTATTTGCTTTCAGAGTTTTATATTATTCCACAATTTGTATCGTCTCTTGTGTGCTTCTTTTGTCTTCATTTTTACATACCGTTGGTGGTTGTTATTATTGGTAATAAATCGACAAGTGATGATAAATTTATACTCTCTAAGAAAATGAAAAGTGTTGGAGATTTTGATCCTCTATACATACAAATTGTTGGAAGTTTACTCATTCAACAACATATGTAGCGGATCTAAAGTAAACAATCAAGCAAACACATCAAGAAGAACAACACAAAATTACGTGGTTCATTGTTGCCATTCTGATTTCGGTTTTATTGGTGGAACTTTACAATTTGCGTTTAGATCTATAAATTTTGTACCCATTTTTTTTAGACTAAACTATATAAATAGTCCCCTACATTTGTGCGAATTTAAATTTTGGTCCCCTACATCAACATGTATATGGATTGAGCCTTTACATTTCATTTTGAAACTTTTTTGGTCTCTTTTCACTGTTCCGTCACTATTTCCGTCTTGATGACCGTTGACCCTACCAAGTCAGGGGTATTTTTGGAATGACACGTATAAGATCAAAATAACAAATGTTTTTATAATAAAATAGAATAAAATATTAAAAATTATTATTTTATAATAAAAAAATAAATAATTTAAAAATAAAAATAAAAAATTAAAATGATTTCAAATTTCAAATTTCAAATTTTTTTTCACTTCCCACCTTTGTGGGTCCTACATGCCAGTCAATTTCTCCTTTTTTTTTGCTACAGTAAAAAAAATCAAAATAAAAAAGTAAACTTATCTTCACCTGTCTTTTACCTTTACCAGCAGTGACTTGGTAAGAATAAAATTAATAAATGCCATTTCGGATTATGAAAATAAAATTTTTAAGGATAAAGGTAAAAGACGGGTGAATGTAAGTTTGTTTTTTAATTTTGATTTTTTTTACTATAGCAAAAAACAAAAGGGAGAAAATGACTCGCATGTGGGACCCACAAAGGTGGGAAGTGAAAAAAAAACTTTGAAATTTGAAATTTGAAATCATTTTAATTTTTTATTTTTAAATTATTTAATTTTTTATTATAAAATAATAATTTTTAATATTTTATTCTATTTTAATATAAAAACATTTGTTATTTTGATCTTATATGTGTCCTTCCGAAAATACCCCTGTCTTGGTAGGGTCAACGGTCATCAAGACGGAAATGGTGACGGAACAGTGAAAAGAGACAAAAAAAATTTCAAAATAAAATGTAAAGGCTCAATCCATATACATGTTGATGTACGGGACCAAAATTTAAATTCGGACAAATGTACAAGACCATTTATATATTTTAGTCTTTTTTTTTTTTTTTCTGCTTTTGAAATTGGAGACAATTTTCTAAAGCATCTTTTTGTACCAATTCGGTTAGATTACACCCAAGTCGGTTTGCTGCGGGCCTTTAAAAGTTCAGTTCGGTTTGCGGGCGGGTGCTCTAAAAGAAGAAAACCGATCTATCCGAACCGAATAACCCACAAACCGTCTGAATTAACAGCCGTACATACTACAAACACCTTCTATTTATACTAAAACCAACACAAAAACCCGACTACGACTCCCAATACTCACCATCATGGGTTTGGGAATTTGAGAAGAAACTCAACAAAAAGGTATGTTTATTACTCTCTTTGTTCTAACAGAATACTCCATATTTAGATTTTCGTACTAGATAACCACTTTGAAGCATCTACTGTTTGCAGATTTAAAAGAAAATGATACTTCTTCTTATACCAGTAATTTCCCATTTAACAGTTTCTTTCTACAAGTTACGAATGAATGAATGGTTTTGTACAATACGTCAGCCAGATTTGCCAAGATAAATCTACACTCTTACTTTGCTAAAAAGGTCGGTCTAACACCCCAATGACATTTGGCAATATATGGGCAGATTTTAAAAACTATGATCAACATGGGCCTAGATAAATACAGTACATAAAACATGTCATAAGTGGGCTTTTTCTTGTCAACCCAACTTTTATGAAACGTTCTGTGCTGGGCTGGGTGGAGTAAAAAGTTGCACCTCTAGAATTAGAATCATCATTTCGTGTCCTCACCTCAGATAAGATGTGCAAAAGCGGAGCTCTGATGCCAGTGTGAAGAAGAAGGAACAATTTCATGAGCAATTCATTCGCATTGGATTTGCCCCCAATATGAATATCTTAATCACAAAGAGGCCTGTTCTTCAACTGGGTCCTCAATTTTCTCATCAAAATTATTCATTTCGCTCATCATTCTTAAGCCAGAAAAATCCAAACTTTCTGAAATATCCCCCTTGTAGAGGAGTTTCCTACGACCCAAAGACCGTTACTTTCTGCGCCAATACAGCTTCTGAGACATTGGTTAGCTATGGTGGGTGGGACCATCCTCAGCTCGGAGGGAAGTTTGAGTACACCAGTGAGTACGATCAGCTGAAGAACTTTTTGTTTTCTGTTGGAATTAGTGATAAAAAGTATCTGTTTGTTTATTTGTTGGGATTTATTTGTGCTCTGGCAATTTCTAGAATCAGGATTTCTTCCATAGTAGTTATTCCAGCTTGTGTTGTTGCTTTTGGGGTTGGGTTCTCAGTGGGATTTTTCAATGGGGGTCATGTCAGCTTGATTGGGGCTAACAAGAAGCCAAAACTTGAGAACTTTAAGCATTTAACTGAAAAACTGGGGAATCTACTGGATTTGTTGGGGGGATGTGATGTCAACATTGAGAATTTGAAGAATGGTTTACAGAAAGGTATTAACTGCAATCAGATTAGTCTGAAAGATTTGCGAAGTTTCTTGAAAGCTTTAGAATCAATTGATTTAGCTACCATGAATGCTAAAAGCGTTGCAGAAGATTGTATGGGTGGTATGTTAGCCGAAAACCAAGATGTGGATAGAAATTCGAATCAAAAGTCAGTTAAGAGGAAGAAAGAGGGCAGTGACACTGGATTAAGCTTTGCTGGCTTTTTTAGTAATTTGTTTCAGGAAAGATCTACTGGCTTGAAACCTTCTAAAATGAAAGATTCGGGCAAGAAGGAATCCAAGAATGTGGAGGCTTTTCAAGGGGCACAAAGCAATGGCTTAGCTTCTTCAGTTGAAGAAAGAACAAGAAAGTATCCTTTAAACAAAAACGTGGAAGATGAAACCTCTTTTGATGGTTCTGCTAGAAATCGAAATAGTGCTGATAACTTGATTAATGGTGCTCGTAGGGTAAATGAAGTTTTCAATAGAGACAATCTAAACTTTGCTGGAACAGATGGTGTTAAATCCACTGTTAAGAGTACCAAGTATACTTATCACAGAAGGAAATTGGAGTATATGAGCAACCAAGAAGTCTCTTGGAAAGCTGGGCACTCTAGAAATTTTGGAAGATGGGATTCACAGGATGAGATACTTGATGCTCTGGACTTAAAGGCAAGTGTCAAGCATCAGCATAGTGAGACAGAGTTTGCACAAGAAGTGACGAGAGATGATTTGGAAAATGAAGTAGATGGGTATGACAGCGGAGACACTGATAAACATGAGGCTTATGGATCTGTTCAGGGTAAGGGAATGATTGCTGACAGTGAAGCCACCTCTGTTAATGATGATTCTACAGGAGCATCAGGGGATATGGAGTTCAATCGGTATCTTGTAGAAGCTCATAGTCTCCTGAAAGCAGCTAAAGAATGTCTTTTGCAACAAGGTGATGATGAGACTGCTGAGAACTACCTATATAAGTCCGCGGGATTACTGTTGAAAGCCAAAAGCATAAGACCAATGAGCTTGTTAGCAGCTGGCCAGTTGGGAAACACGTATCTCCTTCATGGAGAATTGAAATTAAGGCTCAGCCGTGATTTGAGAGCTTTAATAGCTACAAATAATCCAGCGACAATGGATGAATGGAATATTGATGATAACATAATGTTCAGGAAGGACAAACTTTCATCTGCTCTTGTGAATGTCTGTAATGAATGTGAAGAGCTTCTTGTCAGTGCAGGAAGAAACTATAAACTGGCCTTGTCAATTGATGGAAATGACATGAAAGCCATGTACAACTGGGGCTTGGCTCTTTTCTTCCGTGCACAGTTAATTGCTGATATTGGACCTGTAAGCCATTGTTCTTGCTATGATTGTTTTTGTGAGTCAAAATGATTGAGCCTTAAATTTTACCAAGAAAAGTGCATTCTATAGCAAATCAATGTCACTGCAATTGAGTAGATATATGTAACTTGCAGGATGCTGCTCGTGATGCAGACAAGGTTTACTTGGCGGCAATTGATAAATTCGATGCCATGATGTCCAGAAGCAATACTTATGCACCAGATGGTATGATACACTCCAGTCAATAATATACTAAATGTTTTAATGGTTATAATCCTTTTTTCTCAACACAGGATCAATTGAATTTGTCCAGTTTACTTTCAGAGTAAAAATAGAATTTCATGGACACACATATCTAACTAGAAATTTTTCATTATGCTTTGAAGAATACTTCAATAGTTTCATTTTATGATTTGGAGCTGGATTTAGTTACTCAAAAGTTGGCTGAGATTACATATGCTATAGTGGCAAAAGGAGACGACTTGAGAAGATTTGTAAAGTAAAAAAGACTATATTTAAATTTACATGTAAAATCTATTTTGATAGATCATGATGACAGATATGATTTATTGAGTTGATGATGCGTATTGATTGCTTAGTTGTTATTTGTATTTCATGGATTTTCTTTTGAAGTTGTGCGAGTTTCAGCTCTTTTCAGATGGGGTACAGCACTGCAACAAAGATCTCGCCTGCGCCCGAGGAATAGCAAAGAGAAGGTGAAGTTATTGCAGCAAGCTAGAAGGCTCTATGAAGATGCACTTAATTTTGATTCTGATAATATCCGAGTTCGAGAAGCTTTGTCTTCATGTGTGTCAGAGCTGAAGTATTGGTTTGATTAGCAATCTATGTGTTATCCTTGTTCAAGGACATTATGTAGAGGTACATATATTTTCCCCAAATAAGATTTTTCTTTCTTCCTTATTCTGTCAATGTATATGCATATAATGTAATTTACTGGATGCTAAACGGGGGAATATGAAGATGCACTTAATTTTGATTCTGATAATATCCGAGTTCGAGAAGCTTTGTCTTCATGTGTGTCAGAGCTGAAGTATTGGTTTGATTAGCAATCTATGTGTTATCCTTGTTCAAGGACATTATGTAGAGGTACATATATTTTCCCCAAATAAGATTTTTCTTTCTTCCTTATTCTGTCAATGTATATGCATATAATGTAATTTACTGGATGCTAAACGGGGGAATATGAAGATGCACTTAATTTTGATTCTGATAATATCCGAGTTCGAGAAGCTTTGTCTTCATGTGTGTCAGAGCTGAAGTATTGGTTTGATTAGCAATCTATGTGTTATCCTTGTTCAAGGTCATTATGTAGAGGTACATATATTTTCCCCAAATAAGATTTTTCTTTCTTCCTTATGCTGTCAATGTATATGCATATAATGTAATTTACTGGATGCTAAACCGGGGAAGCTGGTTATCAATTGTTTAAGTCTTTAAGGCGGCATGTCAGTCTTGTTACGACTTCCTTGCTGCTATTGCCATTTTCTAAATGTCTGTGCTGAATTATCAGATTTATGCTGCCATTAGGAGAGCTGGAGAAAATATAAAAGACTTTGCAACTGAGATTTATGCTGCCATTGGGAGAGCTGGAGAAAATATAAAAGACTTTGCAACTGCTTTCGGGTTGTCGACAATGACCAGGTTTGTATGCTTGCTTTAGTTTGGCTTGATTAGGATTTTTATTTTGATTCTGCAGACTTGATATAGTTATGTTGTTTCTTTTCCTTTCTGTAGGTCTCCAAAATAAGAACAAAGAGTCAAAGATGTTTAAAATTGGAGAAGATGTGGCTCAAAGAAGTTTGCTATGAATCAAGCAATAAGGAGAAACATCATCCCTGCAGGATGAAGATCATGCTAAAGAATTGTTGTGGAAGAAGAGGTAAAACTATATAATACATGGTGAAAAATTTTCCAGGGTAGGAGCTTCAAAGAAATCCATGTCATTCGTGAATGACTTTGTACTAGCTGATTTAACCATTTGTGTTAAGTTAGAATTTCGAGTGTTAAGTTTTTCAACCCCATGCACATAAAGCTTCTCCATAATAGCACTGTGCTAAATCTTGCTCACATCACATGATCCTCACTTGTGATGATTAAATTAAATCGCAAATATTTTGTTTGCCAATTTATACAAGATTCTTCCATTCTCGTCCTAAATATAGTTTCATAAAGTCAATCAATAAGATGTTTTTCTATGCACAAAAAGGTTATATTCATTCCTGAAATGAGATCATAAAGTACAGACAAGAAAACTCAAATAGAAAGTTGCAGCAACACTCTTTAGTCCATTTATATTTGTAAGCCGTTTGTAAAATACAGTTGATTCTGCATTAATAAAAACTTCATGGTTGGTTGTTATTGTATGCTCGAGTTGGCATGCTCCATTTTGCACGGTAGCACGCTAGAAACACCCCTGAATACCTTGAGCATGCTTTGAAATGTGACATTGCCGACCACAGTCTGGTCCTCCCCGATCACCCATACACAGCTCACACGGTGTGCCAGAGCTTGAATCATTACCGCGACAAGTGAACTCCATGGATGGCAGACAATCGCCTCTGACCTCCTTGCAAATGAATACCGACCTGATCCACTGTACCTGCTTCCCACTGATTCATCATCTGAAGAACAACTAGAGGATGCTGATGGTGAAGACACAGAATATTCTTCCAACAGATCCAACAAGCCCTCTAGGTTCTTCTCTGCCAACCTCATTTTCACTAACTGGACTAGTTCTTCGGGAGGACCACAGCAATCAATATATGCCAATAGATCACCTGCTGAAAGTGTAGTGATAGCTGCGGCAACTGTTTCATCACATAAGGCAAGGGTGGAAGGAGATATTTCGCCAACCAATAGCTTATTCTCATCAATGACTGCAACAGATGTCTGCTCAACATGAGCACGCAAAATCAAGGGCAACACCGAAGATGCAGCCTCATTGTAGTGCACAGCCATTATATTACGATCAATCATATTCAGTGACTCGATCGTATATGTTGGAATTGGAGAGAAAACTCCAATGGAGTTGAGAATGAAGCGAACAACATCTTCCTCTGTTAACCAGCAGTATTCCCGGCCATTGTGGTGCGTGAAAGAAAGTGGTTTATTGACTTTTTTTCTAGAATTCCTAGTGGTATAGCTTTCAATTGGTATAACAAGATTCTGTACACCATCGAGGATGTAATCTATTGCCTCCAACAAGCTACAAAGAGAAACACACGAAAAAGAAATTAGTAACGGACCAAATTCACAAGGCACCAGAAATCGGGGAGGGCCTAATGTTTTCTTATCAAATCAAACCAAACAATTTCAAGAAACAAGAACAATAAATTTAAAACATAATATTTCACTCGACAAATCTTGGGGCCGCCATTCTTTTTCTAGAACAAAGATTAATTTTCTTATCTTTTACAGTATAAGATGGTATGCGAGGAAAGAACACCAAAAGGGACTTGTTTCTTGGTGAACAGCCAGCTTTTGGTCCCTTCCATTCAAATTAATTCTTGTCTGTTCCATCTTTCTTTTCTCAAAATACAAGGCTTTTGATCATACCAAGAAAAGAAATATCCCCATTAATTTTACAGATAAACAAACAAGAGAAAACGGGAAGGAAGACAAACAACACATTCAAGCCAAAAAATAACTACATCCGAAAATCAGAGGTATCAATGCATTTAGCACAAGGTAATTTCAAATAGCATATTTTTTCTAAAGAATTAACAGCACTGGAAATTTTCTAATTTCGATTAAAAAAAAAAAAACTAATCGAGAAAGAGAAACGTCACAAACCTAGAATTGGGTTCCAGATGCTTGACAAAAAGGGGATGGCTTTTGGGCAAAACCTCAGAAACCGGAGCCTCCAAGGCCTTAAAAGGGTCGGCCAAATTTTCCTCCTTACAAAGAAAACAAATCACATCCACCACGCAAATCTTCCCGACGCATTGGCAATCGCTACTCTGATTTCCGACAAAATTGTGGTCGTCAAAACCGGAAGATGATTTACTGGATGAAGAAGAATGGTCGGAAGAGCAGCTCCAGACGCTCACATGGCTATCGCCGGATCTCTTCAACGCCGACAATGCCTCAGAAACTGAAGCACCGGCCGGAACCCACTTCAACGGCGGCTTTCCGAGACAAAGGTCCGATACCTCTCGGTTGGTCAAGAAATTCACGGCCATACAATGGAAGAAATCACCCAGGGGAAAAGGTGTTTGGTGAGATTGAATCTGGGTTTGTGAGAATTTAGGGTGATGAATCAAAGAAGAATCGAAACAATGGAGGAAGAAAGAAGGGAATTTGAGCCAATGTTCGAAAATTAAGGAGAGTAGACTGCACAGAGAACACCAACTCAATTTGGTGATTGAAAAATGTAACCGAATACAGCTGCCTATTTATAGACAACGCGGTTTGGCTGGTAATTCTTTATTTAACTCCATAAGTATTTTTAGTCGGTATTATAATCTTTTCTAATAAATCAAAATAAATTATTTTCCAATCGAACATACAAATAAAATCCAGTCATTGCAGTACATCTTACTTTCTCTGGGTAACCATATTTTTAGTACAACAATAACCTTTGTAACAAATTTCTCTGTCCGAAAAGAATTCATTGAATTTTCATATTTATATTATTTTCAGTACAAATTTGCAAACTAAATGTGAACTGTAGTATTATTACTCTCTCTGTCCCATAATTATTGTCCACTTTACCCAAAAAATTTTGTCCCAAAATTATTGTCCAATTTGACTTTTTATGGATCAAGTTACACATTTGTCCTTAGTAAAAAGCATTATCCATAAAATCTTAGTGATTAAACAATTACTTATGTAGGGGTATATCCGGTTGTTTAAGGTAAAATATAGTTAAGTTTGACCAAAAATAAAATCTTTTATTTTAGTAAAACTGGACAATAATTATGGGACGGAGGAAGTATTATTATTTGAGAACAGGGAGAGTAATATTTTTAATGTTTGATGATTATTTAGTAGGTATATGTATATATATGTGTATATATATATATGTGTGTGTGTGTATGTATGTATGTGAGTATTATAAACACACACACCTTAGACAGTAGTAATACACATGAAATTGAAAAAAATAGTTTACTTTATCACGTAGGAACTTGTATTTCACGGAATCAATGAACTTTGTTTCCCCTTCAGTTTTGCTGTGTTATTGTTTGAAAGAATTTATTATTAATTCAATGAAAGAGTAATTGATGTGAATTCATCACCAAAGTAAGAAGAAGAAGAGAAGAAAAAAAAAAGAGAATAAACTTAAAGTCATTTTCCTGCACATTAGTATTAAAAGAGCATATTGAGTGTTTAATAAAATAATAAAGCGTATTACTCGTTCCGTTTTAAATGAGGGTCTCAAATTAGAATAAATGGTACTAATTTTATGTCGTAGTTAACATATTGAATGTCTACCCTTCAATTTGAGACCGAATATTGAATAACCAAAATAACGAAGAGGTATGACACACATTGAATGGGTCAAAGGAGGACTATATTAATTAGGTAAAGTCGAAATATTTTGTCATTAATGAAATAATATAATTTCCATAGTTAAGAGATTGAAAATGAATGATGAAATAAGAGACATATATTAATCCTAAGATAAGATATTGGAAAAAGATATATGTGAGTTGTGGACTGTGAACTTGTGTGTGATCTTATTGTCTTGATAATCTTAGGGAGGTCAATGTCGATTATCGTCCTAATATAAAATCAAGGCAGACAACACGAGATTAATCAATTGAACCTCTTTAATTTATTCTTGATGGTACTCTCATATCTGGTTATTAATAGTAATTTGATTTTTATTTTTATTTAGCTGGAATTGATCTCATTGTCAATACGTGATTTTTTCTGTGGGCTATACGTAATTATCCCGGGTTTTTGTTCAAAGTTAAAGAAGTGGAATGATTTTGGTTAATCAAAATATTAATTGTTCGCCTGATTAAATGAAAAGCTTCTATTTTAGTAAAATTATCAAGGAAAATGTTTTGTCGCACTACTATACTGGTAATGATTTTTCTTTTTTTCTTTTTTTTTAAAAAATTCTGACTTCACATTTGATTTATTTATTATTACTCATTCAATTCGAAAATGATGGATCGTATGGATCAAAACAGCCACGCACGATCGTCCACTGTATTCTTCTTTAATTCTTGGTTGTTTTCAGGTTTTTGTGGGACTGGATCCCATGTGAATTGTATTAGAAAAACCAACAAAAACAAAAAAAAAGAGTTTGATATGATATGATTACCCATTTTTGAGATATATTATTGTCAAAACAGAAATTAATGAATAATGTAGACAGCTAACCGTCGACCGTCCGTCATACTACGGCGGAGTACGTCGACGTACAGTCCTTTGGAAGATCGGCCGTACAGTTTTATTTGCACACGCAACCTCACCGATCCCGACATTTGTTTGTAAATTATTGAAGTACCTTTGTAATAATACGATAAAATGAATGTCATCATCGGTCGTTAACATTTTGATTGATTACATAAAGAAGCCTTTGCACTACGTCAGTTTTACATTTCTCCACGTTGTATCTTTTTGGCATTTTTCAGTTCTTGGAGCTTCAGTTACGATGTTTGTTTTGAGGATGAGCATGTACGAAAATGGAAGTTGACGTAAGGATCATTTTGAGATGAGAGAATTTATTGTAATAGAGTAATATTTTGAAAGTTAATATATAGTCAAAATAATATATGTGAATTACAATTCATTATGATAATCGAATTTCATGACAATCTATATATATTAATAATAGGGCGAATTACATTTTACCTCCTGAGTTTTAGCCCCTTATACCATAAATCCTCCAAATTTTGGTAATACTACCATTTACCCCCTGAGCAGGGTCAAACATGAAAATAACTAAAATGACCATGATTTACATACATTCTAATTCCTTTTGTTTTGTTTTTTTTTTTTTGTGATTTTTGACCATTAGAAATGAAAATTAATTAAAATTTAATTCATGATTAATAATATTAAATTAATTATGTTTTATAAAAAAATTAACTAATGAAGATTATTTTATTTCAGAATACATGATATAGTTAAGTTTGAAAATTCATTATTATGTGCATTAATATATATAAAAGAACTAGTGGATTATTTTTTAAACTTAATTTATTTTATATTTTTTAATTAATATTTAGATTGTATAATGTAAAAAATAAAACTAGACGGTGTTTTTGACCGTTTACACAAAGTTGATGATATTGTTAGTATGATGAGGGGGGATTAGTAGGTTGATTACGAGCCAAAAGGATATATGGTAGTATTACCAAAACTTGGGTGGTTTATGGTAGATTAAGTCAAAATTAAGGTGATAAAATGTAGTTCGCCCTTAATAATATGTTTAGCTGTTGGTTTATATGATGCACATGAAGTGTTTGAATAATCCCACTGTTTAAGATAAGACACGATTGGAGTATGATATTGTTGTATCTCTCGTGCAGCGAATGTCTTAATTCAATTTTATGTTAAGAGTTAGTTTTCCTTTGTTGCATAAAAGAAAATGGCAAGATATTTCAAGATCATGCTCGCGGCTGATCAATCAATTTTTTCTAGTATATACCCTCCATTTGAACCTTTGAGGGTCAAGACTATAACCCTATCACATCGGACAGCTACTGATTTTGACCTTCAACAAAAGGACGACCGTACCCATAATCAAAATTTTTAAACCATAAGAAGAACAGTCAAATTATGAAGCATTTTGTATTTTCCAGAATAAGTTAGCTACATACAGATACAGTTTGTCCCCCGAGTAAAAAAATATCTTGCAACTTGAGTACAATCCAGAGCTAGAGAGCAATGAAACAAATCAACTGAAGCCACATGATTTCTTTGGGATAGTTAGTACTCCCTCCTTGTACCCCCCCCCAAAAAAAAAAATAAAAAAATAAGTACGATAACATTTTTTTTTTTTTTGAAACGTTGTGGTGGTAAAATTTCTAATTTTTTTTTTTGGGTGTGTGATAATTTGCTTCAATATTTGAATTATATGCATGAATTGCCCTGATGGAGGTGAACCATTTATTGAATGAATCCGGTCGGTTGTTTTCCGTTCATATAACGCTATCTGACCTAGAAAAGAAAAGAAAAACCATAATTACTCTAGATTTCGGCATTATCAATCAATCATTTCATTCCAAAATTTCAAAAAATGAAGGATTAGACTTTAAGTCGTGCAAACAATAAAAGTAAAAAAAATAAAATAAAATCCCTTCACTACCAACATACATCACGTCAACTTATGTTATTAAAAAAAGAAAAAAGAAAAAGAACTTATATGCCAATCTTCTCCAAAATACCAGATTCGGTTAAATTGATTCTGGAAGTCTCTTCAATTTATTATGTTATTAAAAATAGTAAAAAAAGGAAATCATTTTTGGAAGTAAGTAGTAACTTGTGCACCTACGTGCAGCAAAAATTGATAACAAAATCATCCAACACAAAATTATTCCATCTGCCCTTTTTATAAAAGACATTATGGAATTGATGATATTAACTTTTAAACATTGATTCCATTCTTGCAATGGTAGATTCAAGTTCTACGTTTTTCCTTGCAAGGGGCGTGAACTTGTCAATATTTTTTCAAACGAATTGGACATATGTATGTTAGCCCACATTGTTTCCATTGACTCAGCCCATATGCAAGCTAAAACTTAAAGTAAAGTCATATCAACCAAAATGGTTCTGGTCGAGTGAAAGGGATTCCGCTACCTTTAACTATAGGTCGAGGATTCGAATCTCGTCATAAGCATAGAGCAACCTTAAATAGTTTGGCCAGCTGTCCCACGCATCGAGATGTCTACAATTCAGCGAGTGGATTAGTCACTGTTGCCGAAGGTGGACATCCTATAAATATGGAAAAAATAAAAAAAAAAGAAGTAAAGCCCGATCGAAAAAAAAAAAGAAGTAAAGCCCGATCGAATCAACTCCACAGAAAATCCCAACGCCAGTGCCTCTGCTTTCATTGCACAATAATATGGTGAAAAATGGGACACCAATGAATGTGATGAAGATCTAACTAGATTTCGTTGAATTAATAATCAATGGTTACTGCAAACATGCACTTTGGTGAAAAAAAAAAAAAACTTTATGGTGACTAAATTCGTTGAAGAAAATTTTATGGTGACTAACT